AATGGTTTTAAATAGAATTTATAAATTTTGCATTGGTTCCCATTGAAAATCAATGGAAATTTCTCCTATGTAAATATTAATGGAAACAATTATTTTTCCATTTATGCCAAATGGTTTTGAATGGAATTTTCAAATTTTCCATTGATTCCCATTGAATTTAATGGAAAATTTTCCTACGATTAATTTTGGTTCGTACCGTTTGACCAGGCCATACGAGGACCCAGACATCACGAGGTTTCTTAGTATAATCGGCAATTGCCATGGCAACCATTTTGTGAACAGACTTCTTCATATCTATTTCCAATTCTACCAGCCATTTTTCAACTTGTCCTCTTGCCAATGCAGTTTGAATGACATCCACAAGTGGTACAATCTCTCCTTCAGATGATTTCATATGTGTTACATCCATATCAGCTGTAAATGTTAGTTTAGCTATCCCTTCGAAGCATTTCTTCAAATGAGGCTGGACTCTACAAACAACGAAACATTTTTTAAACAAAGAAAGAAATGGTAGGAGTTGAAATAATTTTTGCATTGAAATAAAATAGTTACGGGAATTACTACTTTCCGCTGGTATTTATTGAATTTTTCTTATACTTTCCTTTACTCTGTGCACTGCAAATTACCTTGTGGGGTCCTTGGTTTCGGATAGAATTTCTAATAGTTCGTCATTTGACAAGAAGAAGAACCGAGGGAAGTATAGTCGTTTTACTTCCAAGTAATTGTTTAAACCACGCTGCACTGCGTCGAGCAAGCCATTACATTTGACTAATCTTTCAACCATTTTGTCTATTTCCACAACCACCAAAACTTTTGGTTCAGTGTAAACGGTTTTCATTAATTCTCTCCAAATCTAGAGCAAATGGTGTCGAGAATAAGTGTCAACTATTACGTTTCTGATGGGATTCATAAAATATGTATGTATATGTTTAGTACTATGTTCGTGCAATGTTCCTAAATATTACCTTATCCATGGCAGTAAATTTTCGACCCTCTTCTGGCATTTGCTGTTGAATATCTGGTGAAGAGAAAATTGGCTCCAAATACATCCACGTGCTCTGAACTTTTAACCACTCGTCGATAATTACCTGAAGTAAATGCAGCCTGCGTTCCCAGTCTCTACAAAGCAAATATTTGAAACTCATTTATATATTAGTTACATTATTATCTTACAAAATTTCAGCTTCAAATGGTTTGATGTACGGGGAATTCTTCATCGTTTGCGCCTTAATTATATGATCATCTAGTTGCACTTGGATGTCGTCAATTGCAGATATAACGTAAGTGCCAGTATCTCTAGTTAAATTAAATTGTTTATCAAATTTATCAAAATACTTATAAGTTGAATGCTTACTTGTATTCCAAAGCTGTGAATGCTACATCTTCCCATTCTGCTTTCATTTTTTTAATATTCTTTTCGAGATTGTTTTCTTTGGAAGCAGCCTCAGATATTGACTCAAACTTTTCAATGAAATCATGTAAACCGTAATCGATTACTTTAGCTAGTGTTAGTTCCTCATCAGGTACTATAGGGAAGCCTACAATTTCAGAAATCATTTCCCAATGTCTCTCTTTTAATCCAGGATTTCCTAAAGTGTGAATAATCGGCAGATTTTCCTTAAAATCTTCAATTTCTTCTCGGACCTGTATAAATTAAATGGTATAATATAAATTATTGGAATATAATATATTTGGTCTTTTCAATGTTTCTATACCGTTCCTGCCAATTCGCATGTTGCGGGCTTGTCAGAGAAACTTTTCTCTAGTTTGTAAACATTTCTGTAATAAGTGGTGACTTCAGTTTCTATTTCATCGGGGTCATACGTTCCCACCTTGGAATTTAACCATTTGTTGCGATTTTCCATGTAATCGACGGCATTATCGTATAACTTTTTAAAAGGAGTTAATTTGTCATGGGTTTTCTTCCTCAATGGGTACTGGGTTTCTTCGAAACCATAAGCTCTTTCTTCTGCATTAAATTCATCTATCAAGACAATGGCATGCACCAATCTAAAATTAATTAATGTTGTTAAGAACCGTGTAAATCGATTCAATATATTCTTTATTTATTTATTTTCAATTAGCTGTTGGCAACCCGCTTCGTTGGGTTTACATTTTCACTTATTCTAAACGGGTTTTTGGTGGACGATTCGCAAATCCAAATAAACAGCAGATTGGAGAAATCTCTAATATTATTGAAAACCACACAGTTTTCAGAACACTGATCGAAATATAAGAAAAATACCCCTAAAATTATCCACCACTGTACATTTTCACTTATACTAAACTAGTGTTTGGTGACCGATGGTCGGATCGCTAACACACTTCAAAATTGACAACTTTTGAACATTATACGAGATTCCAAACATTTTTTAGGACATTGGTAGAAATACATATAAAATATCCTAATACACTGTCAGAACCCATCCCACCATTCACGGATACATCCTCCTCGAATCATTCAGATCAATTCACTTAAACAATCCCAGGCATTTTTTTTTAGAATTCTAGACTGTTGTAGATGCTAAAAAAAATTAAAATCATTCTATAGTTGGGACGATCAAATTTGGCAAAGTCTGTAATAAATCATCTCTGAGAATGACGTATCTTCTTTCTTGTTTCTACTTTGACAATTTCCTTAGAATATCCAACTTTCTTTAAAGTCCGATGCTGGCAACATGCACAAATTTTGCTTGTCTGTATCTCTTTCTATTACACATTAATTGGTGTATTGTTCTTCTTTTTTCTTTATTAGTGTCCGTTGCGATTCCTACCTGACATTTCTAATCCTACGATATTCTCTACAACGTCTGTCGTGAATAAAAGTAGGCATTCTGTCAGCTCCCGCTGGAGCCTAATTAGTAAGTTGGAAAAAGAAAGTAAATGCGACAAATTTAGTGCGGATTATACCAATTTTGAACATTCGAACTATAGTGCATTTTCACTTATTCTAAACAGGTGTTTGGTGGCATGTAGTCGACCCACAAGCCCACAAAACTGGAGAAACATACAGACACATACGTCCATTTTTATTGTTTATGTGTTGATTTCAAAAAAGTTCTGTAAATAAATAGCAGGATTCCATACTTTTCGTCCAATTTCTGGGCTTTCTTGTAATATTTGTCCAAGTCTTCGATATCTCCATTATATTGCAGCTCGTCTACCAATTTTGCGTAAATTTCAAGATCTTCAATAAACTTCTCTATGCGAACTGCGAGATTTTCTTTAAATTCTTCAGTTTTGCGGTCAATCATTTCTCTACTTTCTTCTATTTTCTTCGGGATCATACGGTACCTGGTATTAAATAAACCTTGTAGTACACACAAATTTTTTTGTTTATTTATAATTAAATTTATAATAGGTAGAAGATTATCTGATATTACCATGCAAATGTGTAACTGTTCTGTTTTATTTCTTGGGGGGTTAGGGGCCAAAAGTTGCACAGTATGAGAATATATCTCATAATTTCTCTTAATGTGTCTTCCATCTGGGGTATATCAAATTCTTCCACACGATTCACGTACGCAATCAAATCCATCAAAGGATGCGTACCTTCCGGAACTGTAAGTAACTTGTCAGATATTTTTCTATACGTATCTCCCAATCTAAAAGCATAAGTTTCTCAAAATTGCAAAAAGCACTATTCTTTTTGCATTTTTACATATTAACTCACGTTTTGCATATTTTTTGATAATCCGATACAAGCCGATTAATAAACTGAAGCTTAAGTTGCTCAGCGGCATCAACGAAATTTTGTATCAGTTCTTCTCTATGCATTTCGTACATGCCAACTGTAATTACATATTCTAAATCTATTGGTATACTTTCGCCAAGATTTTTGTACATGGTAATTTGTTCGACGTATTCTTCAATAGTATGTTCCTCAGACAGAAAGACCAGAACTTCACTTTCAGCCTAGATACGTAGAAATATTTTATGGCGGTTGAACCGAAAGTAATTCAATTGTACTGTTAGTTCCTCATTAATTGATAGAAATTTCTTACAGCACAGCATAACATAAAAGGTAATCCTTGCTCTGGGCCGAAGAAAACAGGATCATTTAAATAGATAAACTAGACTTGATGCTAAGAACTTAAATAAAGACGCTGCTGAGATTCGCAGACTTCTAAGATCTTTATGGAGAGGATGTGAAAGATTAATATATAACGTGAAGTTTGAGATTATAGGATAGGAAGTCATTTCTTAGTTAGATGCTCTTTCGCATTAGTTTATCCACGAAGAATAATTAAAGCAGTGACGGTTCGTGGGTCGTATAAATAAGAGACCAAATTAAACAAAACACGTAGATCACAGTAAAGCCTAATTTCGAGATCAATTTTCAGTCATAATTATTGAGTCTGCTTATAGGAAAGATCGATTCGTTTTTTCTTTTGTGTCGGAAAATGATCAATTATTTTGCCATTAAAATTGATTGATTGAGGCTTCAAATATATTACTATTTATCACTACATAGTATAAAACAAGGTCGCTTTCCCGCTGTCTGTCCCTATGTATGCTTAAATCTTTAAAACTACATAACGGACTTTGATGCGGTTTTTTTTACAAGATATAGTGATTCAAGAGGAAGGTTTATATGTATAATACATGTATATAGTAGGAAAACACTGATATCTTTAGAGGTTTCTATGTGATGTCGTAAATAAACACATTTTTTGCGCTTACATTGTCAACGCTGGCTGAACCCTACGAGACAGATCAAAATAATGTACTACAATATTGTACATCTTAAAAGGGTCTACAAAAAAGTCCGCGATGGTATATGTCTATCTCTTAGGGATAACCCACAATAACCATTTTTATCCTTTATTTTTTACTGACTTATTTACGAAGCGATTGTAGGCAATACAGCATTAATTCTGATCCAATTAAGTACCTTAAATACATTGTGCATTTAATATAGATCAATATGGCTCTTTACAGTATGTAATTTAAATGAATATTTTCGAAGATATTACAGATTTAAAATGCAGGGACATAGCAGTTGCGGCGGTACAGGCCGGGAGGCCGGTTTGTATTGTCTAATGACAAAAAAAGCTGTGAATGTTGTATATAAAGACATTCTGTAGTATATTTAGTATGTTCAGGGGGTATCTTTTGAAGATTTCCCCTTTTCGATAATAATCTAAACAAAACAAAAGTATATTTTGTATCAGTATTGCACCCGTGCGAAGCTGGGGCGGGTCACTAGTATGCAATAAAAGACAACTACGTTCAACTTACAACACCTGCTTAGAAAAAGGATTACCCTTTAAAGGTTTGCTGTTCATTTCTTCTATTTGTATGAAAACTGTTAGTAGGAATCGTTATATTACTTCTAGTGTAACATCGCAATTGCTAAATAAATTTGAATATAATTAATTAAATTAAAATACAAGGAGTGTTGTGGATGCTTTTTAGATGACATTGGGGAACGTACCTCGCCATTAAGTAAATGAAGGTAACGGTCAAAGTCATGAGCCCTGTCTTCTGGACCAAGTCGTTGTTCTTGTAGCATATTATAAATATCATTCTTATAATTGTCTACGATTTCACTAAGAATAACTGGCTAAAAATTTCTTGTGCTGTAGATAGACATAACAGAAAGAAAAATCGAGATTCCTACTGTGAGCCTTCCTGCAGGTCCTTCGTAATCCAAGTACAACAATGTTTCTAATCTGGGTACTACCATGACTGCAGCAATCATTGCATCAATGGGATTGATAATTTCGATGGAAAATTCCTCGAAAGATGGTTCAAAAATTAATTCCAGTTCGTTTCTCATTTCACTTATCGTTTCTTCATCTTCGACCTCTTCAGCCTTTTGTTCTTCTTCTTGTTTTTCCTCCTCTTCCGTATATTCACTTTCAGCAATTGTTTCTTCGCCTGCTTCTTCTTCTTCCTCTGTTGGAACGACAAGGACTTTCCTCTTCAGGAAGATTTTAAAACCGTTATTGGAATACTACAGCAAACAACAATAATATAACACAGAAACCGCAGATACTACGGGGTAAATTTCTTACTTTTATATCTGTAATGTACTGATGGTAATCATAAAGCGATTTTAAGCAAAGTGTCTGTAGCTGATACGTCATCAACGAAGCAACACAGTCATAAAATTTTTTCAACTGCTTCAAATTTCTTGAATCGACCAGTTGTTTTCTCCTATGAGCGAGAATGAATATGTCAACGACTGTCTTAAAATAATCTTCTAGCAGGATTGTGTTAGCTGTTTCTAATTGTTTCTGAACCATTTTCTGAAATTTCTTTAGGTAAAAGGACCCAATGTTGTTTTTAATTTCTGTCATATTTATAAGACGCACTTTTCTGAAAATAGAATGTTTCAAGGGGATAACTCATTCAGCAGGGATAATTTATCATTAAAAATTTCATGAAATGAAAACTTTTTATAAGGAAATCAGATGGTAGGGTTAAATAAAGAGCTAATTGTTACTTATATCACCATTATCATAAGGTCTTCAGTCCTAAGACTGGTTGGGCACGCACCTCCACTATTTCCTACCCTGAGCTAATCTTCGCATTTCGCTAACACTAGAATAACCCACGTCCTTAACTATTTGCGAACAGTAATCTAATCTAGACCTACTCCTCCGAACTCCTGTTTCTGCTTTTATATGTCTCTGACTAGAACTTCATGTTTGAGAAGGTGTCCTACAAATCTATCCTGTCTATTTTTTATTGGCTTCCATAGAGATCTCTGTTCTCCTATTCTTTCTAAACATAAACCTTTTACAAACTTTTTCGAATTTCTAGATTTATCGTTCGCGAGCATAGAAGTGACCTCTGCTTTATAACCCTACTACTCCTTCCGTCCTGATTTATCTGACATTTTACTATACTATTTCTTCCCTTGCATACCAGTATTTTTGTTTTACTGTTATTTATTTTCATACAGTACTGTTTTGTCAATACCGCTTNGATATTTTATATTGCAGGGGTGGATAAGAAGGTTAAGAAAGAGACACAAATATAATAAAAAGCCGAATGATGTTAAAAAGGAGAACGATTACATAGCAAACTAAATAAAAATGAAAAAAAAATAGAGCAACCATAAACTGTTTGGCAAGTTAAATTATTATCGCCCTAGTTTCTTTTTTATTTCTGTACTTTTGCAAAGTAATTTTAAGTTTGTTTGGCGTACTATGTTTATTACTTTTACTAACTCCAATTAACTATTTTGAAAAATATCTAGATAAAGTAATACATTTTTGTCAATTCACATAATTTACAGTCATTACGTATGCTTGACTGTTATTTAAGCGTATTGTCTATAGCATATATGCATATTTATAAGAAAATATTTAATAAACCTGTCTCAAAACTGCATCATCAAGGGGAGATACATGAATAGTATCGACACCGTAATTAATATAGTAACAATATCTAAGCAAATCTTTTTCATTTGTTATTGGAACATCATCTAAGTCAACGTCCATTTGATCGGCATCGCTTGTCATTAGTTCAACTATCCGTTTGTGAAATGTTTCCTTTTCCTTTCGCATTTGCGAATAGGAAGGCTTCTTTTGTACGCGGCGTTTCTTTTTCTTTTCCTTCTCTAATGGCGATTTGCTAAATTCCTCTGGTAATTTAAACAAATCTTCACTTCTTTGACCGTAATCATAAGGTGTTATGAGCCGTGGTACTTTTACTTTCGTGTCTCTGTTATCTATGAACGCTCGTTTCTCCAAAATGTTATTTATAAGTCTTTGTCTTTCTTTTTTGTGCTTTGATGATTGCGACATGTTTCTAAAATGACCGAAATTTAACGCGGAGCGTGCAATAATAATTGTAAATTAAAGTGCACCTTACCTGGATAATTATAATAATTACAGAAGTAAAATGTAATTTCTGAAAATATGGTACAATTAAAGCTTATGTCCTATAAGCATTAATTAACATTTTTATCAAGAAAATACAAGTATTTCTGACATTATCACTTTGTTTACCTCTACTATAGAAACGAATTGGAATTATGTCAATAACAGGAATTCATGGCAACCATAATGCGTATTGGGTTTTTATATAATACGCTTAAAAAATAATTAACAGTGATATTTCAGCTAATATTAATTTCCTTGACGAGAGTAGATTTAATTAACTACATTTGAAACAATGCAAATAAAGTAATGAGATTGTATTGATTTTATTCTTAAAAAGATTGAATTTTATATTATTCAGTCAGCATCATCATCCTTATGAAGTCTTTAGTTTCAAGACTATATGGACGCATGGACCGTATGCCTACTCGGAGAAAACTAAATTTTTACCACAACGCAAAGATTACAATTTTCGATTGTATATGACTATATTTGCCGTAGAAATAGTAAAATTTTCAAGTTTCTTAATTGTTGCAAGATCTCTGTTCTCCTATTCTTTCTAAACATAAACCTTTTACAAACTTTTTCGAATTTCTAGATTTATCGTTCGCGAGCATAGAAGTGACTTCTTTTTATTGAAGGCGACTCGACCCTACGCTATCCTCTGCTTTATAACCCTACTACTCCTTCCGTCCTGATTTATCTGACATTTTACTATACTATTTCTTCCCTTGCATACCAGTATTTTTGTTTTACTGTTATTTATTTTCATACAGTACTGTTTTGTCAATACCGCTTCCATTTTATTTAAAGCTATCTTTAACTCNCTTTTTAACTTTTCATATTCTTCATATGTTGTTAAGAATCATTTGAGGATATGTTTCAATATCGGAAAACAATAAAACGTAACGTATTGATAATTTTTATTATGCAAGTACTTTGCAGAGTATTATTACAGTGCATGCTGGAACCTTTACAACACATTTTTATTGCGACAGTTGACAAAGCATAGCAACTCCACGTAAAATCCAATGTTCCGGGGGTTTTTCTGTGGGCATACGAATAGGGATAACAAAATTTGTCGAATGACCTGTGGTCGAAAGGACTCCTCTTCGTTCTGACGTTTTATACACCGGACAGTCGTATGTCTTTCGGATAACCAGCTCGGACCTTTCGATTGGTATAAATAAGAGCTAAAACAAATGTGCATATCAATTCTTTCATTTAAATGGATGGAATTGTACATAATGCTGTAAATGGTAAAATAAATTAATTGTTTACGAAAACAGGACCAAATGTTATGCAAAAGGATTTAGTAAATGACCTACAATTGGAACAGTGTCGTATAAAACTTTGGGGTAGGATTCTTCTAGTCTCATGGTATTCATACCCCATCTGGCTCCTTCTAAAAATAATCCATAAACGTAAACACCATCTACGGGTGGTTGCGTAAAGGTAGGAGCTTTCATAACCTGTGAAAATAAAAGATAAGGACGAAGGTCCTGCTTTATACTACATCCCTTAGGACAGATATATGTTTAATTATTATTGGTTTGCTGTAATTTTAAAAAGATTGAGTACCTCGTAGTCAAATGTCAATAAGTCTATTGCAATTGTATATTTCCTTGCAAAGTTTTGTTGCGCTCCAGTTAAAAAAGCTTGAGTGAAAAAGAATCCTGATAGCCAAAATGTAGGGGGTGGTCCTTCATCGAACCATTTCTATAAATCGAAAAGTTAATTCGAGGAAATAAGTATATAAAGACATGGGTACATAAACATATTTAATACTAATTAGTTGTAAATTACTTGTAAAAATGCCAGCCTTGCTAAAAAATCGTTTACATAACTCCCTAACGGTTTCATCGAAGGATATGAAGTTTTTGCCCACTTTCCTGGAATTTTTCCCCTCAGCATGCTCACCAAAACTTCCTCTAGGTCTACAGACATGACGATTAACCCTGATAAAAGAAAAATAAAAACCACTTGTTTATTTTATGTTTATTTATCCTTGCTGTCATTTTTAGGCGATTTACCAAAGAAGAAACAAATAAGTGATTATAAGTATATAACTCCCCAGTTATGAATGACAGGTTTTAAGTTATTATTTACGAAGGATATATAATATCGAAGATACATAATATAAGAGAAACAAATAAAGTAATGTGGAAGTAAAACTCACTAAATGCCAAAATTCCAGATACAAAGTTTTAGATATTTTTTGGGCATTATCCTCAGTTAAAATCTTTTTTGTTACCTAGTATTTTATTCTATCTCTGTAAGTATAAAAAGAAGTTGGTCCTGAGGGACTGACTGAGGAGCAATGCACAGCCAAAACCATTGGGTCAATTTAGATGAATGAAACATATTCTGACTATTGCAGGGGCGGATTTTGCGAAATTCGTATTGTAAAGGTTGCAAAACAGAACAAAATTAAAAATGAGGTCCTATAGAGATTATTTGAAAGACGTATGTCTGATTCTCATGATAATTACCTATAGTTTGCGAAATATAAGCGATATTAAATATTTATCACATTTTCATCATTTGTGTCTTAGTGGCTACGGAGTAAATAAATAAAATATACTTAATTAAAGCTATTTTCTATTATTTATTATTAAATATTTGACAAATTATTGTCATCATACCTTTAATAGCTTTCTTAATGTTTATCAGACTATCCCTGACGGTGCTAAGTAATCGATTGAATCTGTGCATTTCTTGCACAAGTACCGTGTTCATGCTTTGATGGTAGATCGTGGGATATTTTCTCATTGCCTCATCAATATCGAAGTTTTTGGGTAGTTTTGCCAATATGTCGGTAGATACATCATAAATAACGTCTTCCGGAGATTTAGCTGCACTTTCAGATGAAGTTGAATCCTAGTAGTTTAAAATATAAAATATGAATTTTAGAATGTCTTGTATCTTTGGGCAATATACTATCTCAGGATTGGTCCTGATTATTTCGGAAAAAGTTTTAGGCAATCACTTAGTGACTTCGAATATGATCTTGAGTTTAATCTTCAAGAACACTTATAATTCGAATCATATTTTTGGTCTCAACAATGCGAACGGTAGGAAATTTGATAATTGGAAATCTGTAGTTAATTTGCCCATGAATATATCGATTGAAAAACTAAGAGTAAATCGATTTCAAATGGTATCTCCTATTATAAAATCTCCTGTATTTTCTGTTGTTGCTAAAAAGTGTATTGCCACTAAAAAATTGGCTTGTCTTCAAATATCGAGTCATCAACTGATTTCTCTGAAAGCAGTAAACTTTTGCCTAAAATTATTTCCTAAATAACGATCAAATCCGATCATTTTATTGCCTCAAGAAAAAGTTCACCCTGTAAATGTCTATAAAATATCAAATTATGATCTAGACAATCCCATTAGGTATGAATTCTACATGGATTACGTTGTATAGTACATAAATTAAAAACTTTTGTTCTATTGTAAATTTTATATGTAGAAAAATACACATACCCTTAGTTTCTTTATTCCCATGTAACGAAGTTGCAATAAATATAAAAATAGTAATTAAATACGTATTACAAATGTATTAAATACGGTACTATTAACTTACTTGAAATTCGTAAAGATCCTTGGATGCAGAGGAAGAAGTAAGTACTTAATTAAATACTTGGAATTAAAACAATAATCGATTTTAAATTAATGAAATTAACACGTGCACTAATCAATTTCCACACGTTGTCGTTAACGTAACAACTGTTTTTCCCTGTTTTGGTTTCATTAAAGGATATACACGTGTGGAGGACATTTAACATACCGTACAGAAAGTTAAAATTTACCCCCCAGTTTTACAAAACTAAATTATGTTAAAATTAACTTCTTGTGACTTTATAAAATTAGGTGCTCATTGGTGCAATCAATAAAAGCAATTTTAAGGAATGCTATTATCCTGATGGTAATTCTACAGGAGTTGTGATGGGCAGGTTTGCGTTTTCTTTTGAAAATCTTAATATTCCAGAGAAATCTATAGTTTTGCAAATCAATAAGTTTGATACATCTGGATGAATTACGGGAAGAATCGATATTTCGCGAAGTCATTGATTGTATTGTGGTTTTGTTAACTTTTCTTACATCTAATGAACTTGATAATTAGCAAGGACTGTTATTAGGTACATTTTTAAGCGTAACTAGTTCTACAAATTGCAAACGCTCAAGACATTTTGACGAATGAAAATTTATGAAAAAATGGTAAAAACAGCGATAAAGAAAACATTTATTTGTGAGACGATATACCACTGAATCTCGTATCTTGTTATCGATTTGGTCGCTGTCTATCACATCAGTTCCGTCATTGTATGGGATAGAAGCCGCGTCTGTCTTATAACATAATCGTTATCAACTATCGATATTCCATACTTTTGAAATGCGTGTAATAGAATTGTGAAGAGCATTAAATAGAATTTTTCCTTACGTGATACATACGTGTTATGTATACGTATACAAAGATGTTTTTCTTAAACTTTAGTTACAAGAAGTTACAATGTTCATCAGTTAGGCTTAGTGTACTACAAGAGCAGTTTTATACTCATTACTTTCTTATATATTAATAACAAAAATATGACGTTATTGTTCGTCATCAGTAAATTTATTATAATGCAGGAATTTAAACAGTTTGTATAATTTCAATCTTCTATGCAATTCCTTTATAATAGCAGAGAAACACAAACTTCATGCTTGCTACAAACGCATTTTATTGCAATTCTAGACAATATTTATTTCATCGGCTTCTTCTCATTCAAGTTTAATACTGAAATTAATCTGAAGAAAAAGCACGATGTGGTGAAATAATTATTGTGAACAATCAACAAAATGCTTTTGTAGCATACATTATCTGTTTTAAATACTTTGGTTGTATATTAGTACCTAAATCTTCGAATTTAATAGCACATTCCAACCAAGTTTATGAAGAATTTAGTAGTTCAAACATGTTTTCTCAGGGTCGAAACAAGTTACCCTACCCAATAGCTGCAAGAAAACTATTAAGGGCATATTTAATTCAAATGCCTTAACAGTTCTGTTGCAATAAAATTAGGGGCGAATCTTTACTTCATTTGTTTCATTGCCATCACAGCCTCCTATGATATTCTATTTGTTTCTTTTTATATATAATACATATATGTATTTACTTACCAGTCGGTCCTTAATTGTAGCAAAAGTATAATAATATATAAAATTTAATACAAACGTATACATACATATATCACTTTGATGAAAAAAATTAAACAAATAATTACCTGAGTAAGCAAAGTACTTGTAAACAGCAAGTTCGTTTCGAATTGATCCTTCATTATATCTGCGTTTGCATGCATTCCAAATACTTCGGGATGGGTGAGCAATGGTAAAGATCTTGTGTATTTAACGAAGAAATCATAATCCTCCGAATCAGGACAATAATATTGTCCTAAAAAAATCTTAATGTATTTCTGTTCGTATAGAGTGACCTAAACAGTTCACTATGGCCATTATTCTAGTCATCGATTTTACGGAAATAAAGTACAATAGTGCAATAAAACAGAGCAAGGGTTGGAACATAGAGATTGTCTCTTACCAGTGGGATCAAAAGCATACTCGGACTGTTCAACAAGTTCTTTACAATAAAATCTTCTTAAAATAGTGTTAAGTGTTCTGCGATCCCAATCGTCAGTCACTCTACCACCGTAGTTACATTCTCCTGTTAAATATCTCAAAGCAACGAATTGAACGTCCTGAAAAATGTGCAATAACAATTATTAGAAACCCGCCCAGATATATGGGTATAATTACGCTGTATTCGTTGAGAAACATTTGAAGTTGCATGACGCTTATTCGCAAATCAGTTTCGTTGAATTCATAAGGAATATTCCAACCCAGGGGCCCAAATTTTCTTCTTTCCTGTATTAGTGCGTGAAAGAAACACAGGCCGTAGAGTAATTTCTTAAACGCAGGTCCTTGTTTACAATTTTCAAACCATTCTGAGTCAGATATAGGATCGCTTAAGTACGACCTGATTATATTAGCTCGTAGTCCTTTTGGAGGCTCGTTGGTCATTTTTACACCATTTTGTAAAACAGAGACTGGGAAATGTTCGGCAGGATAAGAAGTTAACCAAAGACGAAAATCAGGATGAGTACTGTCAGGTACAAGAGCTTCACAGATCTAAAATATGTAGCAAATATTAGCATCCATTCTATAACAGTCGAGTCTTAAAGGACCTTTGATAGTAAACAAACGGGCAATCTTAAATAATTAGATTAACAATAAAATAATGCTCTCCGCCAACAAATTACTTAATTTATATTTTAGATAATCATTTTTTTTAGATCCTCTCTCAATATTTACTTCATGAACATTCTAAAAGAGCGCGTACATAGGATTTGTAGATTTAGAAAAAGCTTTTGACAATGTTAAATGGGATAAGATGTTAAATATACTTAAAAATGTATGGAAGAGTTATAAACATAGAAGAGTTTGATAGAGCTGGAGCTGCAACGTAGAGAAGTAAATATTAGAAGGGAGTCAGACGGGGTTGCACACTGTCACTGCTACTTTTTAATCTATACATCAAAGCCGCGATCAACATCATTAAAGACAGTACAACTGTAGGGATAGATGTAAAGGGGCAATAGATTAGTATGCTTAGATTTGCAGATGATATAGCAGTTTTAGTACCTAGCAAAGAGGAGTTAGAGATAGCTTTAAATAAAATGGATGCGGTATTGATAAAACAGTATTGTATGAAAATAAATAAAACTACTGTTATGCAAGGGAAGAAAAAGTAGGCAAAGAGCGAATAGAAAGATAGGAGACGAGAAATTAGGAGTGGTTGTTTTTTGGTATCTAGGAACTCAGATAAGTAGGGCAGTAGGAATAGTAAGGATATAAAGCAGAGGATAGAGCATGGTTGAGTCGCCTTCAATAAAAAGAAGTCACTTCTATGCTAGCGAACGGTTAATTTAGTAATTCGCGGGGCGCTATATGGGTGCAAACCATGGATGGTGGGCGCGGCGGAAAAGAAAAGGTTAGAAGCTTTCTAAATGTGGTGTTAGAGGCGAATGATGAGAATACCGTAGATAGAGAAGGTTAGAAATGCAGAGGTTTTAGAAAGAAAAGGAGAACACAGGAAGTCAATAAAAAATAGACGAGGTAGGTTGGTAGGACACCTTCTCAGGCATGAAGGTCTAGTCAGAGACATATTAGAGGCAGAAGCAGGAGTTAAGAGGAGTAGAGGTAGACCTTAGATTAGATTACTGTTCACAAATAGTTAAGAATGTGGGTTGTTCTAGTTATAGGGAAATGCGAAGGTTAGCTCAGGATGGAGGTGTGTGTCCAATAAGTCTTAGGACTGACAAGCTTATGATGACGAGTTTAATATTTCCTTTGTCGTTGAAACATTTACACCTCAAATTATGACCTCGAAATCTAACTTCAGTAATTGGCGTAAAATGCCTTTAAAAATATGTCATGTTTAAGCGGTCTTTTTGTAGTAGTTAGTTATTCTTGCGAAAACGCCTGATTTATTTACGAATTTAAGTTGTCAGGAACCAAATATTTTGGGCGGAACATAATTTTTATTGTTATATTCTACGATTAAAACTCGTATTATCTTCACTATAAAAGTGATTACCCTTTCCAAAGTTGGCATGAAACTTTTTGCCAAGTGACAATTTTGAAGTACGATCCAATACCCATTCTTCATTCCGTCCTCAATAAGTTTCACTGCAATCGGCCCTTGTCCTTGACCGAGAGATAATGAAAACAGTCGATTCAAACCATATCCTTGATCGTCGGCAAATTTAAGCAAAACGACAGTTGGATCAGCTCCAGGTGTTAGGACAAAAATCAGTGGAATACAACTGTGAGAATCAGCATAAGATGAAGCCAAATCAAACGGAGGAGGTTCCACAAACTGTTTCCCCAAGTTTTCTTTAAAATAAAGCGCATTTTTGTCATTACAGCGACGGAGAATTAATGTAAAATACCTTCCACAAAGTTCTGTACTGAAGGAACCATTTTGTCGGAGCGTATGCACCTCAATACTAACATTCTTTGAAACTGTGAAAGCTTTTCTTGCCATGGGGCTGGTAGAGGATAATTATGAGGTTCTGGACTATCAAACATTTTTCTCCACAGAGGCTCATTATCCTTGAAATGATTTCGAATACCGCTGCAAAAGGAATACCATTTTCAAATAGAATTTTTTTTTTTTTTGGTAATTACGTGTCAGACAAATTCATCATTTTAAAAATAAAAAAAAAGACATTAATTTTACAGATATGGAAGCATATTTTACAGATTGATGTTGAAAATCATCGTAGTCTGGTTTTCGATCTTTATTGTCAATCATTACTCATTTAATAAAATAATTTGAAGTGGTCTGTATTCTGTCGAAACTGACAGACGCGGTTCGCAATTTCGATCTTTTTGGATCTCATCAGCGCGTTGCAGGCAGCTCCGACAGAACACAGACCAACCCCCACCTGCTGTCTTAACAGCGCGTCCTAAAAAATACTACGAATGGCGCGGTATACGCCATCTGTAGTACGATGCTACATTTTAGGATTACGTATGCTCCAACAAGGTCCATTTAAATATATGGATATCTA